GGCTTTGTACGTGATTCCCCCCGCATCCTACGTGTGTCCTTGCCCAGCCCTACCCTGCACAGAGACTTCCACAGGGGCTTTGTACGTGATTCCCCACAGGGCCTCGATGTTGCCCGCTGCCGCCATGGCCCAGCAGCAGTTGCAGTTTTCCTAGTGAGCAAGAGGGTAGAGGCAGGTAAGGTGTGCAGGCCATAGCCGCCTCCTCCCACTACTTGGCAGGACTGGGCCGGGCTGGGGCAGGCACCTGGTTCTGGATGGGCGAGATGACGTTGGCCACCTTCCGCCAGTCACAGGTCAGGGGCACTGGCTCCCCCTGCTCTTCAGATCCTACCTTTCTGCCCACGCTGGCCACCTCTCCAGTTGCCCTCTGATGCCCATAGATCTGGCCAAACTCCTCCTCTGGGGGACAGACAGAGCCACCAAGGTCACAGTTTTGGCTCCTTCTTCCTATTCTGCCTCTCCCACTCCAGCCATCCACTCCTATTTGGGTCCCTATAATACCTTGGGAGGCAGCAAGGCAAGGATACTGAGGCCTAAAGAGGGGTCAAGTCCCTTGCTGTGGGGCATCCCCTCTGCGTGCTGCCCTTGGCCCCTGAGCGGGGCTGGGACACAGGTCTGCAGTGTTTCTGCCCCTGCAGTTGGCTGTTTGGGGTAAGCACCCAGGCCTCTGGTTCTCAGGGTCCCTCCCTGGGCAGTGAAAGTAGAAAGTCTGCGTGGCCTGTCTGCCAGCATCCCTGCAGGAGACTCTGCTTCCCCACCCACCCTACAGGCCAGGAGGGTCTCTGGTACCTGTGAGGTCACTGAATGCAGTCACTCCAAACTCAGCTGTGCCCAAGTCCTCCTCCTGCAGCCGTTGAGCCTGGGCCAGGTTGTGGGCAAAGATGTCCAGGCGGCGAGCATGTTCTGGACCAAGAGGGAGTCCTCTTAGGCCAGCTCCCAGGCCCCTGGGGGCAGGAAATTGCCACTGGCTGCACATCCTCCCTCCCACCCACCCAGGTGGGCGCGGGCTCCATTCCGTAGCCACAAGGCCCCACACAAACACCTAGGCCAAGGAAGTGGTTATGCAGCTGACCAATAGTTAGGTTTTCCCCAGAGGCAGCCAGTGGGACATCTCGGCCCACCCTGCAGGGAAGCCAAGCAGGGGATCTGGAGGCAGGGTGACTCGGAAAGAAATGGTGGGTGGCAGCAGACCAGCTTCCTGTCAGCCCACCTCTGCCTCCTCACACCTCTGACCACAGGTGGGGAGGATGGGACACAGGCAGCTTGGGCTAAAAGGTGCATGTAGGCCAGCCCCATGCAGAAGAGAAGATGCAGGGCTGGCAGTTCATGGGGGTAGAGAAGGAGTCCCCAACTTGGGGACAAAATGGGTATCTTGGGTATTTGCTGAATAAACACATGACTAGATGGTGGTCCCCCACCTGCTGTGTGGAATCAGGGGAGCGGCTGTGGGGCCAAGGGACCCTCTAGGACTAGGGCAGGCCCCCAACAGCTGCTCCTTGCCCTCCAGGTTCCTAGCAAAGAATGATCTGTCCCAACACATGCATTTGGGAAACCAGGGAGCACACCCCCAGCCCTGCCACAGTCCTGCTGAGTGGCCTTGGCCAAAACTATTCCCCACCCTGGGCCTCAACTTCTTCATCTATTGAATGAGGGGAGGGGGTCAGACTGGAGATGCACGTGCCCCATGATACCTGCTGGGTTCGAGTAACTCCGGTTGAACTGGACCTGGAACAACTTGAAGACCTCTTTCAGCTCCAGCGGCCAGGGACCTGGGTCCTGGCAAGGAAGCAAGGGTGGAAAGCGGGCAGCGGATGGAGGAATCATTGCTGGGACCCCAGTTAGCTCCCAGCCATGCCAGGACTGGGCTAGGGAGTCGGCCTTCTCTCTCTCCCCATGTGGGCTTGGGCACGTCACCCACCTCTCCAGCCTCAGTTGGTCCCTCTAAGAAATGGGAATGACTAGGCAGCTGTTTGTGAGGGGTGACCCCAGCCATGGAACTGGCAGGGGTGAGGGTATCTGGGGGCGGGTTGACAGCACTTACCTGGGCCCTACGGGAGCCCCTGATGCCTTGGGCTAGGACTGCCACCAACAGGGCCAGGAGGCAGGAGCGGGGAGCAGTTCGTGTCATGGTGGTGCAGCCCTAGTGCCGGAGGCAGGAAGTTGTGCAGATCAAGCTGGAGGGGGAGAGGGCGGAGCTGGAGAAACTATGAAGGGGAAACCAGGCTTAGGAGGGGGACCCCTAGAGCACTTGGGCTGCCTCAGGCTTTCATCCCCCCGCCCCTGCCTGCCTGCCTATTCCCCACCCCACTTCTTTGTCTTTATTCAACAGAGGCTCTAGGCCCATACTGTTCTGGGCAATTCTAAGGATACGGAAATGAATCTGTCCTTAAGGGATAGATAGGAGGAGATCGATCTGAAGTGGACAGTGACAATATACAGACATCAGTGCCATTACAGAGAAGTCCAGGGTCTTTAGGAGCCACAGGCCCCTGACGACTAGGTGGGATGGAGGGTGGTCAGTGCCCTCTGGGGAACCGCACTTGCTCATCCTGTGAAGCTCAGCTTAGCAGCCACCTCCCTCAAGAAATCTTCCCTGCACCCCAGCCTCTGGTGCAACCTCTCACAGCCCTGCTGCACCTGTGCCCGCCCGCGTGGCACCTGCCTCCCAACCATACCAGAGGAGTCTGATTCACCTGCGTCCTCAGTGCCCAGGCCAGGGCCAGGCACAAAGCAGGCTCCACAGGTGTTTATTGACTGAAAATTGATTGCCGTAGGTTTTAAACAGGAACACGCAGGGGGCAGGGGACACTGCCTCCTGTTCCTCATCCCTGCCAGCCTAGGGATGGGGAGGCAGAAAGCTGACAGAGTGGGTGTCGCAGACAGAGCAAGGCCAAAGCCTATGAGGTCAAGGGCTGGGTGGCAGCGTTAACATCTATTACTGCTGCCTCAGTCCTAAGTGGGTCCTTGGGCTGGGGCCTTGGATGGGTCCCCAGACAGAAAACCTGCGCCTGAGACCAGAGAGAGGTGTGAAAAGCTGGCTTTCTAGGGCTCCACTGGAGTGGGAGGAGGAGGGGAAGAGAGGAGGGCTCTGATCCTGGGGTTTATTCGTTTACACGCTCACTGCTTCATCTCATGATCACTCTTCCCAAGGTTGTGAGCCTCCATTTGGCTCCTTTTTGTTGCCCACCCCCAGCGGGAAGCCAAGGGACTCCTCTGTTTGAAGAGTGGCACTGCCTTTGTTAAAATGCAGTGCTCAGGCCATCTCCAGAGTGGTGTGTGGCCCCGTGGTTCTGGAGCCCAGTTATGGGCCTGAGGCTGGTCTTGTCCTGTGTATGACCTGTGAGTACAGCCCCAAGTCATCCCTCAGAGCTGGAGGTCCCAGTGTGGGCACTAAAAGGGGGTGGCATACAACCTACCTGTTGTGGTGGTGGAGATGTGGGAGGCCAAGAGGGGGAGGCACTTAGGGTGTGGGCTGGGTGGCCTTCCTCTTTGATCCTCTCCTTCCCTACTTTGAATGAATGGAGCTCCATGAGGCCAGGATGTTTTGCTCTGTGTTGATCAGTGTCATGTCCCCTAGCACAGCATCTGGTCCACAGTGGCCACTTAATAAATATTTGTTGAATGAATGAATGAAATCCCCCCCACTTGCTCATTCATTCACTCATCCACTTGCTCATGCTGCAGATCCTGGCTGGTGCCCAGTGAGGGCTGCACTGTGTGGGCCCAGGGGTCTCAATACCGGGGTGGAAGTCACTACTTGGTAGGAGAGAGACATTGAGCAAGATAAGCTCTAAGAGGGACCCAAGGCAGAGCAGGTAGGGGCAGGGAAAGTCTGTGGGGTCGCAGAGGTTGGGAGAGCTGTTCTGAGAAGGCAGATCCAAATGGCAGGCTCACTTGGGCCTAACAGTGCAAAGATGGAGGTTCAGGTCCAAGTTTGAGTCATCAACTGTACATTAAGTCATTCCCCCCTGGGCCTCGGTCCCTCATCTCTAATTGGCCATGACAATTCTTGTGGTGGGGCTTGAGTGGAATGACACTTACTGGAGCACCCACCACCCTGGCAGGCACAGAGTGGGGGTTCATTTGGTGGGTCTTTAACCCTCTTTATATGGGGTAAAGAGCCCAGAGAGTCTTGGAGTCAGCAGGACATGAATTCAAATCCTGCCCTCACTACTCTGGTTGCACCTGGGACAAATCTCTTAGATCTCCCTCATCTGCGAAATGGGGTGATAGCAGCACCCTTTCCCCACCTTGGCAGAAGGATTGCATGAGGCCCATGCCAGTGCCTAGAACAGTTAGATCTTAATGATCAGGAGCTATTTTCATTATTTAAAAAAAATAACAGCTTTATTTATAATTCACATACCATAAAATTCACCCTTTAAAAGTGTACAATTCAGTGGTTTTTAGTATATTTGCATAGTTGTGCAACTATCACTACTAATTTCAGAATATTTCCATCATCCCGAAAGAAATCCCATACCCATTAGCGGTCACTCCCCACTCCCACTTCCCCTGGCAGCCGTTAACCTACTTTCTCTCTGGGGTTTGCCTATTCTGGGTATTCCATATAAATGGAATGTGTGGCTTTTTCTGTCTAGCTTCTTTCACTTAGTGTAATATTTTCAAGATTCATCCATGTTCTAGAATATATCAGTCCTTCTTTCCTTTTTATGGCTAATATTCCACTGCATGAATGTACTGCATTTTGTTTATTCATCACTTGATGGACATTGGTGGTTTCTCATTTTGGCTGTTATATACAGTACTGCTATAAACACTGTACAGATCTGTGTGTGTAAACGTTTCCAATTCTCTTGGGTATGTACCTAGAAGTGAAATTGCTGGGTCACGTGGTAACATTTTGAGCAACTGCCAGACCATTTTCCAAGGTGACTGCACCATCTTATGAGGGTTCCCATTTCTTCATATCCTCGCCAACACTTGTTATTGTCTTTCCTTTTGATTTTAAAGAGTATTATTTTTTAACTCTTGGCCCCAGCGGCTGGGAAGGACGGTGGTGGTGGGAGTGCCGGGGAGCGGAGAGGAGGAGACCCTCAGGAGTTCACCCTGAATCCCAAGGGCTCACCTGGGGACCCACCAGCACATCCCCTACTCCGCACACTCCCTCGGGACCACGCTGTGGGCGACTGTGGGAATAAGCAGGGATGGGAAGGGGAAAGAAGGGCCTGGCCATTCCCGCTCGCAGTCTGGTCCCAGGCGGGGGATCCCTGGACACGCAGCCCTTCCCGTCTGGCCCCGCCCAGAGACGTGGGCGAAACGAGGCCCCGCCCCTTCCTGGGAGCCTGCTCTGTCCAGACTCCGCCCCCAGAGACACGCCCTCCACTTGGGGGCGGAGGCAGAAACTGGGTAGGGGACGTGGGTAGGCAGAGGGTCGGGGAGGCGCTGGCGCTGGACCCTGGCGTCCTGCGCGCCCGAGTTCAGCTCTGCCCTCTTTCCCAGGGGCTTCCATTCATTTTGGGCCAAAAGTGAACTACCACCCCTGCCCCAGACTGTTGTGCTTTGCGGATAGAGGGCGCGGGGGAGGCCGTGCCGCCGTGAAGGGACCACTTAGCGGAAGACGGCCCTGGGGGTGGAGGGCAGAAGGGAGAGAGATGGACAGCTCTGCGCCTGGGAGCGTCTCGTTCCTGGGCGAGGGTCTGGGGACCCTGAGTGAAGTTTTGGGACTGTCTAGAGTGACGATCTGGGAGCACAGAATACAGTTCTGGAGGGAGTAGAGTGAGGACCTGGAGGCCCTAGGATTAGGTGGGGTCTAGGTGTCCAGTGCAATCTTGAGAGGCGCAGAATGGGAGTCTGGGGGCTCCGGGATTAAGGTGTGGGTGCACGGGTTGGAATTCTGGGGGCGCAGATTAGGTAGGGGCTAGGCGCGCAGGATGACATTTTTGGTTAGGGTGTGGGGTCCCCCGGGTGAGTCTGGGGGTCTGGCATCAAGGTCAGCGGCCCCAAGGATAGAGCGCTGGGGGACCATGGCCGGGAGCCGGGAGGCGGCTCCGAGCGGCGCCGCGGGGGACCGGGTGGGGGCCTGCGGCTGGCCGGGGGCGGAGAAGCGGGGGGTCGGGGTCCCTCCCCCTGGCGCGGGCTCAGGAATCCGCCGAAGGGCGGGCGGAGGCGCCGGGGTGGGCCGCGCCGCGGCAGGCGGGCGGGCGGGGGGCGCTTCCTGGGGCCGCGCGTCCAGGGAGCTGTGCCGTCCGCCGGTCCGTCTGCCCGCAGGCACTGCCCGAGCCAGCTGAGCCTCCGGAGCCGCGGGCCGCAGGGCCGTCGCAGGCCCAAGTGAGTGGCCGTCCCTGAGGGGAGGGCGCGGGCCGTAGTCTCGGCCGAATCAGCGGCAGCGCAGAGCCCAGAGGCCTGAGCTCCTCGGCCTGCGCCGCTGGGGGACCGGGCGGGGGCGGGGCGGCCCCGGGCGGGTGGGCCTGGGACCTGGGTCTGGGAGAAGAGTAGGCCTCCAGCCCTGGGAGGCTCCAGGGCCCCAAACATGCTCCTGAGCGGCCGGGCTCTGGGTCCTGGGACAGGGATCGGGGGTGCAGTGGCAGAGGCCCCTGACCCCCGTCCACCACGTCCCAGGCCCAGGATGCTCCCCTTCGCCTCCTGCCTCCCCGGGTCTCTACTGCTCTGGGCGCTGCTGCTCTTGCTCTTGGGGACAGCGTCTCCCCAGGATTCCGAGGAGCCGGACAGCTACACGGTGGGGACGATGGGGCCACTGGCCTGGGACAGGATGGGCAGGGACGGAGAGACCAGGATCCTGGGGTGGCTGCTACTGGGGAAGATTCTCCCCTCCTCTGGTTGGTAGAGCAGCTGGGGGCCATTGTTTGGAGCAGGCAGGGAGGGTGGCAGGGCTCAAGCCCTGGTCTTGGCCTGATTAGTTGGAGGAGACCTGAGGGTGACCACTAGCCACTCTGGTTCCCTTCCAGGAATGCACAGATGGCTATGAGTGGGACCCAGACAGCCAGCACTGCCGAGGTGAGTGTGCCTGGGGGGCCAACAACCCCCAGGAGCCAGGGAAGGGATTGAGTGCTGCTTCCCAAGGACAATCCCATCATCAAGAGCTGCACCAGGATCCCAGTGGCCCGTGCTCTGCCCTGCTTTGCTCAGCTGAGGCCAGCTCTGGTTCTCTAGGGGCAGATCAACTAGGGGTGACCCCTCCCTCTCCCAGAAACCGAGGAAAGCCTGCCCCTACCCCCAGAAGAGCTGGATCCCATACACCTCTGAACCCTTCCCCTGCCCAGCTCTTTGTTCCCATCACAGCCGGGGAGGGCAGTGTCTGCAGGGTCGGGCTGAGCTAGGGCCAGGGCTTTGGGGAGAGGTAGAGACCCCCTTGGAAACAGGAGAATGAGGGCACAGTCAGAACAACCACCTCACCTCCAGCCCAGGCAGGCCCTTAGCTGGCTGAGCAGAGAGGGAAGGCTTTGCCTGGGTCCCACAGCTTAGAGAAGGCCGAGTGGGGCTCCTGCCTCCCACTCCTTCCAGGGCCGGCCAGGAGACTGGCTGTGCCCAGCAGGCCCCTCTCTGCAGATGTCAACGAGTGTCTGACCATCCCTGAGGCCTGCAAGGGGGAAATGAAATGCATCAACCACTACGGGGGCTACTTGTGCCTACCCCGCTCAGCTGCCGTCATCAACGACCTACATGGCGAGGGGCCCCCACCACCAGTGCCTCCCACTCAACACCCCAACCCCTGTCCACCAGGCTATGAGCCCAACGATCAGGAGAGTTGCGTGGGTGAGTGGGGGTCACTCTGGTGCCCAGGCTTCTAGTCCTCTCTCCAGGCATCTTAAAAACTCAAACCTCACGTTCCTTCCAGGCTCAAAAGCTGCCTGTGGCTTCTCATGGCCACTGTGACACACACACCCTCATCCAGATCCCCACTTTGTTTGGGGCCTGCCACAGGTGGTCCCAGCTCATGTCCCACTGCCCCAGCCAGCTCTTGGGACCCTCCCCTTGGTTGCTGTGGAGACACAGCAAGAACTCTACCTCCCAGCCTATGTCCTCTGGGAGCCACAGGCCTTGGAGGAAAAGTCCCTGAATCAGTGTTGCTGAGGGTGTGTGGACAGGGCCTTGCTTCCTGTGTCCCCCTGACATGGGGTGTCACAGGTTAGCAGTGCCTTTCCTGTTGGCTCCAGGCTGAACTGCTATTTGTGTTGTCGAGAGGATCTAATCCAAGTCCTGGATCCATCTGTCACGTTGGGTGGCTGTTGGGATCCCATGTGGGGCTGAGTGGTGTCTCTCACAGATGTGGACGAGTGTGCCCAGGCCCTGCATGACTGTCGCCCCAGCCAGGATTGCCATAACTTGCCTGGCTCCTACCAGTGCACCTGCCCTGATGGCTACCGCAAGATCGGGCCCGAGTGTGTGGGTGAGTCCAGGGAGCAGCCTCTGTGGTCCCTGCTCTGTGCCCCTGGCTGGCTGTCACCCTAACGCCCCTTCCAACCCACCCCCAGGCTTCACTCCAGTCCCCTGCCACCTCAGCCCTTCTGTCATCAGACACAGAGGACTCTACAGGGATGTGTTTAGGGGGTGTCCCGGCTGACCTGGCCCCGTCTAGCTCCCTGGGCACACACAGGACTATGGGTGGTGAGGCCTCGAGTCCCAGCCGGCTTAGGCCCACGTGGCTTCTGCCCACTGCTCTCCTTTCCCTGCCCCTATACCAGACATAGACGAGTGCCGCTACCGCTACTGCCAGCACCGCTGCGTGAACCTGCCCGGCTCCTTTCGCTGCCAGTGCGAGCCAGGCTTCCAGCTGGGGCCCAACAACCGCTCCTGTGTGGGTGAGGCTGGGCCAGGCCGGGCCCCTGGGTCCTGGGCCGGGAGGTGTGGGGTGGGGGAGCTCCTTTCCTGACCAGCTGAGATGGAGTGGGGGCTCTGGGCTGCTCCTCTGCTTTCACCCCTCCTGTTTTTCCGGCCCCCCCAGATGTGAACGAGTGTGACATGGGGGCCCCATGTGAGCAGCGCTGCTTCAACTCCTATGGGACCTTCCTGTGTCGCTGCCACCAGGGCTATGAGCTGCACCGCGATGGCTTCTCCTGCAGCGGTGAGAGCTCCACCCCTGCTGTGTGCTCCTCCATCGGTCACCCAGGCCCTGCATCCATCCTGCTGTGTCCCTGCCACTCAGTCCTCCATTTGATGCCTCCACGTCCCATGTGTTCTGCACCCACCTACCCCTGGGTGCTTTGCCCAGGGCTGGTTGTAGGGCACCGCAGCCTGGTGGGGAAGGCACCGAGGGAATCAATTAGATCCCTACTGAAGCTCACTGGGGAGACTGAGAAGGATGTGGGTGCCACTCTTCCAGAGAGTTGGGCTAACCTACATTCAAACCTGGCACTAGAGCAAGCCACTCTTCTGTTTCTTTTGTAAATGGGTTGTGAGGATTGAGTCGATGTAATAGATGGGTTTCATTGGGTCTCAAACAGCAGCGCTTTGAAGTGGCCTAGCATTTATGGAGAATCCACCCTGTGCAGCTTGCTGCAGAATAAGGCCTCATTGGTTCCTGGCAGCATGAGGGTTACAAGAGCAGAAAAAAGTCTCCTGCCTGGGTAGCTCAGTCAGCTGGGTGCTTGGGCTGATTGTGGGTTGCAGGAATTGGGCAAATTATTGGAAATTAGAACAGGCTGGGCCCTCGAGACTCATCTAACCCACTCACTTCACTGATAGGGGAAATGAGGTTCCCCAAGATCAGCCAGTAGGATTCACACCCAAGACTCTAAATTCCCAGGGCTTTTATTTAGTATTTTCTTCCAGTCTTGGAGCAGAGGTCTGTGCACTGGGGCTGTCTTTCTTTGAGCCCTGTCCCCTGCTACATTCAGCCTAACGTGGGACTGAATTGTGAGGACTGCCCTTGGCCCAGGGTGCTCATGCCCGCTCTTTCTCAGACATTGACGAGTGCAGCTATTCCAGCTATCTCTGCCAGTACCGCTGCGTCAACGAGCCAGGCCGCTTCTCCTGCCAGTGCCCACAGGGCTACCAGCTGCTGGCCACACGCCTCTGCCAAGGTACAGGTTTCGGGCATGGGTCGGGTGGGATGGTGTCAGGGGCTGGCGGCCTGACGCCCCCGATTCCAGCCTCTCTCCCCTGGCACAGACATCGACGAGTGTGAGTCAGGCGCGCACCAGTGCTCCGAGGCCCAAACCTGCGTCAACTTCCATGGGGGCTACCGCTGCGTGGACACCAACCGCTGTGTGGAGCCCTATGTCCAGGTGTCGGACAAGTGAGTTGACTCGATGCCAGGCCCCCAAAGGAACTACAACTTCCAGAGGACTCTGGGGCAAACTGTGTCTATTGGGACTGGCCAGTGCCCCTGAAGGTTAAATGGAAGTTATTGTCCTTCTTTACCGAACTGCACAAACTGTTATAGCAGGAGTGGGAAGATCCCTTTGGGATTCCTCCCTTTGGGGTAGATGAGATTTAGGGGATGGGCAAGGACCTCATTCCTGTCCCCCATCTCGGGGTCTCTAGCCGCTGCCTCTGTCCGGCCTCCAACCCCCTGTGTCGAGAGCAGCCTTCGTCCATTGTGCACCGCTACATGACCATCACCTCGGAGCGGAGTGTGCCCGCTGACGTGTTCCAGATCCAGGCGACCTCCGTCTACCCTGGCGCCTACAATGCCTTTCAGATCCGTGCTGGAAACTCACAGGGGGACTTCTACATTAGGGTAAGGCTTTCTACCTCCACCCCTCAACTGACCTGCATAATCTAAAATTGAATTCCAGGAAGCCTCTAGGGGGAGACTGGGCTGTGCCACCATGGCCCGCCTCTTTTCTCAAAGCTCCACCCCTGGAGCCAGGATCTCTGTAGGAGGATAGGAGTGTGCCAAGTTCCCATGGTATGAAGGACAGGTTAAATTCCTTGTTAAATGCAAGTCTAACAAGGCACTTGGACCTGGGGTTTGGGTCCTGGTACTGGTTTCCCCTCTCTGACCTTAGTTTCTTCGCCCACAAAAAAAGGGAATAGTATGAGAAGCTTGTGCAGGGGCCTGGGGTCAGAGAATCCAGCTGTCTGCTGGTACAGCTGTAAGGTGGGAGGGGTCCAGGTGTGGCACACACCTAAGAGTGCAAACCCGCAGTCCTTGTGCTGTATTCAACATGGGAAGGGGTTTGTCTGGTTATCATTGCTTGCTTTCTTTTTGACTGAATTCTTTGAATGCAGTCTGCCCTCTCCATGTCAAAGGCCGTACCACTTCCAAATGTCACACCTGGCCTTGAATCATCAGTTACTCTGGTTAGACAGAACTAGCTGCAAAGGGTGGAAAGAGCACCAGCAGGAGATCCCCAACGGCAGGAGCCTGGGTGCAGGAGGGGAGGAGAGATGTCAAGGGTGTCAAAGAGCTGGATGAGAGCCCAAGGTCATAGTCTGGCCAGGACTGTCTGTCCACCTGTTGGCCATTGGGCAGAAAGTGATGCTAGGGTAGTCCCCAGGCTGACACAATCTACGTGTCCCCCCACCCACTGTGTCCTGCAGCAAATCAACAATGTCAGCGCCATGCTGGTCCTCGCCCGGCCAGTGACGGGTCCCCGGGAGTACGTGCTAGATCTGGAGATGGTCACCATGAACTCCCTCATGAGCTACCGGGCCAGCTCTGTACTGAGACTCACCGTCTTCGTGGGGGCCTACACCTTCTGAGGAGGGGGAAGGGGTCACCCTCCCCACAGCCCCCTATAGCCGAGAAGCCTGGGGCTCAGGGATGACTGTGATCTGCTAAAAGGGAAGCTGTTATTGTGAAGGACAGAGAGAAAGGCAATAAAGGGAGAAAGAAGGAGTGCTGGTGGCCGAGGAGGGCGGGTCACACTGCAGTGAGCCTCAGACTGGGCAAGGGGTTGGGCCCATGGGAGGCAGACCAAATCCTAAAGGGGAGCTCTGTGCTTAGGACCCGGGGCCCCACTGATGGGAGCTGGGACCTTTGGACCACAGGCTTCAGGACCACCCTGAGAGGGGAGGAGGTTACAAGGCATGTGGACTCCAGGCCCAGCCCAGAGATTTGGACTTGGCTGGTTTGTAGAGGTCCTGAGAGCCCCACTCTGGATAGCACCAGGAAGTCGTAGGTTCCAGATTCCAGTCCTAGCTCTGCCTCAAACTATACATCTGGACAAGCCTCCGTAGCTCTCTGGGCCAATCTATAAAGTGAGGCAACTGGACTGTTGGTGGTGTTCAAGCTTTTCTTTCCCAAGGTACAGAATCCCTTATCAAACGAAATTGTATTTCATCAGGAACTATCTGATTACACAAAGTAGATTCAAAGTTGTAATGACCCACTGATTCCATCTCCCTGACCAGGGAACCCCAGGTCCTCAGGAGCTTGGTTTAAAAACCACTGGACCAGATGGTTTCCCTAGTTCCTGCGTATTTTATAAGGCCCCTGGGGCCTGGCGTAGCCTCCACAACACGTAAGGCTGCAAACACCTAGGTTTTTATTGTAGCCCAAAACATCCCGGTTAAAAGCTGGCTAGCCTGGGGAGTGGGGGGACAGATGGGGTTGGGGTCTGTCTCGTGGCATAAGCTCAGGTCAGGGGGCTCCGGCTGCAGTAGAGCTGGGCCAAGGTCCTGCTCAGAGCGGGCCCCAGATTTCTGCAGGAAAAGAGAGCGGGTCAGGACCTGGGCAGCCTTGGCCCCTGCCACTCCCTCCCCCTCCAGGTCTGCCTCTTGCCCTCACCTCTGCAGCCGCCCACACTTGATGGTGCTCAGCAGTGTCTCCTGTTCCTTGGGGCTGACACAGGCATCATAGGCGGCCAGGAGGCTGGGGGTGGGACATTGGGGCATTTGAGTTTCTATGGCTTGACAATGGCTGACTGCTGGCCCACTCTGAGTGGCTCTGGGCCAGCATGGGGTAGTGAGTCAGGACACTGCCGCACTTCCTGAGCCTGGCATGCAAGGCCCTGCTGCATCCCACCTGCTCTCCCCATGGCAACACTGGGGCAAAACTAGCCAAGGCTCTAAGAGTTCCCCTCAGTCTTCCTGGCCCAGCCCCCTCCTCCAGCAATCCTTCTCTGCTCTCTGTTCCAGCAGGTGGAACATCTCCCTCCCTCCTGTAGCCTCCCCCAGTGTCTGGGATACTGTCTGGTCCTGGCTGGCTGTCTTCCTCTCCACTTGACCTCCATGAGCCCCCCGGGGTCCAGCCAGATATTTCCATCTCTGGGTCTGCACAGCCCATACAGAGCCAGGTCCCTGCATTAGTCAAGCTGAATTTCATGCAGGGAGGGCAGGGGCTGAGGACCCCTAAGGGTCCCTCTGGGGGCCTACCTGGCAGGGGTGCTGTATCGATCCACCAGGGCTGCTGCCTTCTCCCCACTTACTCCGCGCACCTGCATCAGCTGCCGGGCAAACACCTCTCGCACTGACTGGGCCTGGGGTTGGGGAAGGGCTCTATCATGGGAGGTCTGCGGCCCGGACATGTAAGAAGAAGCTGAGCGGAAATAGTACCTTGTTCTTCATGGCTCCTGCGTTGAAGTCACTGAAGGTGAGGAGTGAGCAGAGAGGGTTTGGGGAGGGCCCAGCCCCTGATTCAGGGTCCCCTGGGATTCCCCAGGGGCGGCTGCGTAGAGTGTGTCCCTGAGAGAAGAAGGGACTGAGACCAGGCTGGAGCTCTAACGGACCACCTCCAGCCAGTCCTTGCCCAGTCCTAGGTCTCAGTGGACCAGTCTGAGAAATGGGAATCTCACCCACCTTGCCTCCCTTAGGGAAGCATGGGGCCCAGGCAAGGGACCAGTGCCGGACAGGGGCATCTGCTCACCTGGTAGAGTCTCTGCAGGCCCCGTGTCAAGAGGGCCAAGTAGGCAGCTGACTCCTTAATGTCCGCTGTGCGCTTCACAAAGAAGCCATCGATGACCTGGGGAAGAGGACCCAAGAGAGGGCGGGTGGCTCCTGGCCTGGGCCACAGACCACAGGGGCCCCTGCCAGCCTGGTCCTGTCCTCCCAGCTCACCTGAGTGTTGGTGACAGCTTGCAGCAGCGTGCTTTCGGGAAGGCTGAGGTTGTGGACGGAGCCTTGCTCCTCTACCAGGTATATCCGGCGCTCCAGGCCACAGCGCTTTAGCCGGAACTGGGGAAGGGGACAGAGTGCGCAGGGATGCATGGGCCATCAATCACACCACATTTGAAACTGTAATGTGACTCTAGTCTCATGAACTAGCCTCCTCTTCCTCCCTAGCCTCTCTATCCTCTCAGAGAGGCCTCCGCACCTCTGCTCAAGCTGATACCATCTCTGGACGCTGCCCGTCCTTCCAGCCTCCCTGGGCCTGTATGTGGTCCCTATGACTGGAGGTCAGCCCAGCAGCCAGTGTCAAGGTATAGCCTCTGCATTTCCACTCCTGGAGATTTGGGCCTTGTCTATCCAAGACTGCAGGCGGTGGGACCCAAGGGGTCTTTAATATGCTCCCGAGCCCAATCCAGATGCCCTGTGTCCTACTGTGTGCCTGGATGGGTCTGCAGGGGTCTCATCCTGAGGATGCCCAGGCCAGCTCTAGTCGGGGTATGGCTGGAGTTCCTGGGGGCTGTGCCTTGAGGAGGCCACCAGAGATGTCCCTGGATTCCCTGGGCTGAGAAGGGGACCTTAGAGCACGCAATGAGCAGAAAGCATAGCAAGGCCAGCAAAGGAACCTTCTGCTCCCGGAATCGGCCATCAATGATGCTGCTGCACAGGTCGTCCAGCCGCTTGCGCTCCACTACATGGTTCAGGACTAACTCCCCAGGTCTCGCTGCCGAGAAGCCAAGAAGGATTCCATTGGCTTGTGTCCCTCCACTCGCCAAGCCCTTCCTCTGATGCCTGCCCATCCACAGCCCTTTACCTGGGTTTCTGGGCCTGGTCTCCTGTGCCACCCACACGAAGTCCCCAACATGCAGCTTGCGTACCGTGTGGGTCACATGCAGGCGCTGTAGTTCTCGGAGCAGCTCTGGCCTGTGCCCGGCCCTGGAGTTGCAAGGAGGGAGGTTTAGGTCAGGGAAGGCTGGCACCCACCCCACCCAGCATCCTGTGGTTGTCTCTCTCGTTTCACCCCACCTCACTCACCCCCTAGTCTCTCCGATGTCCACACACAACAGCACCCTGTACTCTCCAGGCCCCAGCTCCAGTGGTGGCTCCTGGAACTCCTCTTCACTGGCACCACTGGGGGTGGGGGGGGGTTGGTGTGTTTGAGGCCAGAACCCCCAGTGCCAGGGCAGTTCTCCCTACAACCCACAGAAGAGGGAGCAGCCACAGCTCAGCTGTAAGTGATGGAGACAGGGGCAGGTGCTGGCCTCACTTCCCGGACCCCTCCTGCCCCCATTCAGCCCCTGCTCCTGCCCCTCCTCACAGCTGAGCAGAGGCTGCTTCTGGCACTGCTGGTTCCTCCCCATGGCGCTCCTCGGGCCCGGTGCCCACATTCAGCAAGCTCAGGCCTTCTGACTCGGCCAACTTCTGTGCCAGCTCCAGACCCTCCAGGGTCAGCGAGTACCTGGGAGGTGGAAAGGACAAACACAGCTCTCCCTTCTTCACTCACACCCGGCAGGCTGTCCTGCCTGCCCCCAGCAGTGCTGGCCTCACTGCCCACTTGGCAACCCTGCACAAGTGAGGCCACTGGCTCTCCTCTCTTCCCTGTCTTCTATGGCTTTTAGATCAGCTTCCTCAGACCTGCCGCAAGCCATTAATCAGGTCTGCCATAAACGTGTCTCAGACAAACTTTCCTTTCTTCTGTCTTCGCTCAGCTGTTCCCTCCTCCCTGGAATTCCGTCCTTGCGTCTCTACCTGCCAAATCCTAAGATGTGTCAAATGCTGTCTCCTCAACAAAGGCTCTCTGCTCCTCCGATGACCATGACACCACCTCCTCCCTCCCACCCGCTGCCTCAGTCTCACACACTCCTGGTACTCCAGCAGTGTGGGCTCCTGGGGAAGGCCTACCTTCCCCAACCTCAACACCATCAGGTCTGGGAATGGTTGGGTAACTGCAGGGTTCCACTAAGAATGTCATGCATATTCCCCCATCCCTACCTCCTGTGTCCCCTGCAGTTGGCCCCACCTGGCTGGCCGGTGTGTCCTGAGGACCAAGTTCCTCTGGAGGAGGGAGCGGAGGGCTGGCCAGGGTTGAGTACTCCCAGGGACTACCTGCCAACAGGGGAGGAGACCCTCAGAGAGCCCCTGCTGTACCCCAAGTCCATGTTCCCAGTGCTTTGGGCCACAAGCCATCCACAGGCCAGGGCCCCCCTGCCACTGCCTATTGCCAAGGGAAGTCTCCAGTGGGTTCCAGAGCCACTGGGGCCTGTCCTCCCCCACCTCTATGCTCACCCTGGGGGCCTTCTGATCACACCTCTGCAGTAGCTCCTCCTTGGTTAAGAAGTTGTGGCCACTTGGATTCTGAAACCGAAGCAGAAAAGACAGGATAAATTCAGTACCAGGGTCCTTCCTTGCCCTGCCCAAGTGGCTGGAATTATCTCTGCCTGCCTTCCCTGGAACAGGCTCCATTGGGAGTTTCCCACCCCACTGCCTGGGTTCCTGCCTCCCAGACAGCTGAACACTCACCAGGTGCTCCTGGTAGAGCAGCAACAGTACCGCTCGGGCTCCTGAGTGCCGAGCTGGCCAGTAGCTACCAGAGCTTCCCGCTTTGGGCTGAGCAGGAACCTGAAAGGTACAGAGGGTCTGTGAACACGAAAGCCAGACAGTCATCCTCAGATGAATCCCTGGCAGGGCTGAGGTTTCAGCACGCTGCATGGCTCTGGGCAAGTCACTCAGTTGCATCTCAATTTCCTTATCTGTAAAATGAGCCAGGTGATGGGATGATCCTTGCAAATCTGGATGAGACAGGGGACAGCTGCGAGGAAGGGGTAGGGGGTAGGGGTATCCAAGTAGCCCATTCTACTGTCTACTGCAGGACAAGAGTGGTTAGACAGAAAAACTCACTAACAGCAACCCGACAATATACACTGGGCTGGGCCCCCTAAGTAGCT